TGAGCCGGTCACCGATATATCGGTATCATGCAAATGGTGTAATTACTTAGTTTGTCCAGCTCCATTGTTTGCTACTGGCGACCTGGATGAAACGCTTTAAAGCTTAGTCTATGGAAAACCATTGAAACTTTGAACGGCCATATCTCCGTAACGGCGCGGCGAATCCGCACCAAATTCGGGGGATCCCTTCAGCTCGAGGAACCCTCTCGAACTCGAATTTATATTTAGGGATGCACCGAATGTTCGGCAACCGAACCGAATAAGCGAAAAGACCGAATAAATTGTACCGAACAATGATATGACGCGATCAAATAGCAACCAGCGCAGAGTGAGAGGCACGCACTCTTTATTATGCAGCACACGTCAGCAGTGTGGAAGCATTTAAACTGTCGGAGAAAGACGCAAAAATCATTACAAGCATCGACAGTGAGAGACTGTTTTGGACTGCATCGCATGTCTTCAATGAGAAGAGGAAGGGGTGATTGTTGCAGGTTACTGTATGATGATTGAAATCGCGACATGGCCTTAAACAATTAAATACACTGCAGAACGTTATGTTTTCTAATACACGTGCGCATTGCATGTATTCTGACAGCGCTGCACTAACTCGCAGCAGATCTGCTTGTTAACCAGGGTTCAAAGTCCAAAGTGCGAGGAAAATCTGCGCTGATACAGTCGTCAGTTGCTCAGTCACATTTTTATGAATTTTTACAAGGTATGAGACAATGCAACATATTCGTAATGAGACTCATTTATAAATCTGTTGTCAACAAAAATAAGCATTGAGGTCTTCCTGTGCGTTTCCGCCAAAATAAAAGTTGAGAAAAAGCAAGAACTCTTATCAACATTCATAAATGTTAGTATTGTAATTTTACTGTTGTTCTGTAAAATAAAATAAAAAGTAAGACAATAATAATGATAATAATCATTACAACAGCTCTGTTTTAATACATTTATTATAACATTCACACAGTGTTCAAATTAGGATCTGTAATATTTTCTAATGTTTTAAAAGAAGTCTCTTCTCAGCAAGGCAAGAAAGGGGGTCTGATGGCCAAAAATTATTATTTTACTAACTTATTAATTTTAAGTTAAATTGTGCTTTGTTGGTATAGTGTCTGCTAGAATGTTAAAAATGTTCAGCATTTAACATTTTTAAATAGTTGTTTTGTAATTTATTTTTAATTTTTTTGAAAAGCAAGACAAAACAGTAAAAAGCACATTTTGGCTTTTTAATTTATGCAATGGTGAAAAAAAAAAAAAAGGGCAAAATACATGGGGGAAAAAACTCGAAAAACTGTGTTCAGTATTCGGCCCTGTGTTTAATTTTGTTCGGTTTTGGCTTCGGCCAAGAATTTTCATTTCGGTGTATCCCTATTTATATTGTATTTATTTACAGAGGTATATTATGTCACACTTCACACTTCTCTAGTAAGTTTCGTCTGTGTGTGAAGACAGTAGCGCAAATCCGTGAATGAATGTTCCGAAGTGAAAAACTTAAATGGAATAAAGTTGAATGGAATTTAATTAACTTCAACTTTACTGTTCAGTGCACTGATGTCAGACTCATTTTGTATAATAAAGTTTGTTAAATTGTTAAATGCCCTGCCTCCATTACGTATCTCTGTCACATCATTATAAGTGTTTGATCACCACATTTGAGTGATCATTGCAAAAAATGTGTTTATGTATATATATTCTGTTTATGTATATACTGTATTCTATATATAGTACCAGTCAAATGTTTGGACACACAACTGGGAAAGTGTCCAAACTTTTGACTGGTACTGTACTATAATATACACAAAGAATATCGGCCGATATATCGATATCAGCCTTTTTTTACTCCCTAATATCGGTCCCAAAAAACCCATATCGATCGGGCTCTAGTTTTTATAGCATCAAATTACTAGCTAAAATCAAACTTATCACAAAAACAAACAATTTAACATATATCAGCGTGATAACAACTACCTTAAATGACTGATGTCCCATTCGTTTACATGGAGAGGGCGGGGTTTATGACCTGCACTGCAGCAAGCCACCAGAGGGCGAACAAAGAGCCCGCAGCTTCACTTTTCAGGACGTGTGAGGCACCCCTGGTTGAAACCCCTGCCTTGAGGAAACAAAGTACTTCCTCACAGCGGTTGAGTTTCCTCTAAAAGCCTGGGTGCTAATTAGCATTATCCAACCTACTATGCCATTTGTTGCTGATAATGTTACAATGGGTGCATCTTACGCATCTGATGTTTCACCTGCATGCTATCGGGGTCAATTCTCCTACAAGAGAAACCCAAAAGTCACAGGTGCTTACTTGACAAACCTGACAAACAAATCAACAAATTGCAACTTCACCCGTAAAAGGAGCATTTTAGCGGTGGAAACGATAGGCGTATTGTTTGCAAGAAGCCGTGTGGTGCGTGTCTTTGCTTCTGGATCAATAGTCATCCGTGAGCCGTAATGAGGCCTCTTGCCCAACGGAGCGGCTCTATTAGCGGCATGAATAAGTTATCGACGGATGAGAGAAAGGCTAAAACAGACACCGCCGCGGCTTTCTTCTGTTTAAGAACGATGACGTTGTTCTTCTTTAAACATTGCCCGTTTTGGTTGCGGCTGATCACAAATGCGACTTCCTCATGGCATCGCTTCTCAGCTGCAGCCTCAGGCCATCATGGGAGTTAAATATAGGTTAAAACATGCAGTGGAAGAAAACAGTACCAGGAAAGACAAAGCCAGAGGAGGTGAGATATAACAAGGCATATTGCTGCAGTCGATTTATGCAGCTAATATGAGAAACGGACTTCAAACTGACTGCTGGATGCAAATTGCACAACTGCAGTGTTAAATCTCCTGCAGATTTTTGGATTCCTGCGGCTTTTCTTTACAGTACAGTTCTCGATTTCTCACACCATCTTCAAATGAATTCAAATCAAGGTTGCAGCTTGTTCATGGACCTGCAGTTGAGTAGAAAATGTTCTGAACGTCTATCGCAAGCGGTGGATGAAAAGTGAACTAGAAAATTTGTTTTGGTTGCGACTGACATACTAATGAAATACAAATGATACGAAATACGAATGATGAGATGTCAAGCACAAAACTACTTGATCAAAATTTACATTGAAACATCAAGAATGAATGATTTTTTTTGTCATTTTGTAGATGTTGCGATTGCAGGAATCAATGCTGATTCAATGCTATTATCAAGTTTGTTTTATTTTGTATTAAAATATAAGTTTGAGAGAAAACCATAAATCCAGTCGAATGATGGGATAAACTACGAAACGTGTTTTATATCAAAACGTCAAGAATGGTCGATTTTAGGGGTGTCGAAATTAATCGTTGCGATGCGGATGTTGGCGATTCTGCATTGATGCAGTCATAGACCATAATCGATTATAGCCTATGACGTAATTCGCATACGCACTTGTCACGCGAGTATTAAAAATGCACTCTCTATTTTTAAATCGGAGCTTGGCTTTTTCCCGCATATGTGTGCTAGAGACAAACACGGCGGGCTTCATTGCACAGAATATGCACTGTGAGACACGTGCGTATTGCTTGACAGTGCTCCCACTCGCTGTTATTTTAGTCTTTTACTTTAGATACGCTTTCATTTTTGCTGTTTGGAATGCAGTACGTATTAGATGCACGAAACTTTCACGTGCGCTTTATGCTTGTTTGTCCTGAAGCTTGCGGCTGTGGGTAAATGCACTTGCATCTACTTTTATGATACGAAATTGATGTAAACACAGTCAGTTATGTTTTCAGAACAGGACAAAACATCTGATATGTGGAAATAGATCTGTGCATTAGTGTGAATGCAGTCTATTAAAGCTGCCAGTGTCTATGATCTCATCAGTAATAATCAAATGGCAATAATGCTAAGAAAAACCCATAACTGTGATTATCAGTAAACTTTTGATACTTAAAGCACTTTTGATACTAAAAGTGCTTTTTGTTTATCACTTGTAATTGTCTTTTCCCCCCTTTATTATGTTATATATTTGCTTGTATGTTTTGAAGTTATATTTACTTTTAATCCTTAACAATTATTAATTAATTAATTATATATTAATTAATTAACATAATTATTTTAAAAAGTAGCCTGCTTATATAATTTAATAAAAATGCACAAAATAAATTTGATATAATCGTGATGCATCATGATATCGAATCATTGACATGGTAATCATAATTAAATTGAATCGTGAAACCAGTGCCGATTCACACCCCTAGTCGATTTGAGTTGTTTTGCGAATATTGCGATGTTGCAATTGCAGGAATCAATGCAGATTCAACATTATTTGCAGGTGATGAGATATCAACTACAAAACTATGTGGTTGAAATTTACATTGATACATAAAGAATGGATGATTTTATAATTTTGCAGATATTCCAAAGTTGTGCTTACAGGAATTCATGTGGATTTAACATTATTTGCATGTTTGTTTTATGCATGTTTGAGGAAAACGAAAGCAATAGCAGGAAATCACGAGTCATAAAACTAGTCGTATGATGACGTCAGCAACAAAACGATGTTGCCAAAATTTACATTGAAACATCAAGAATGGATGATTTTGAGCCATTTTGCAAATATTGTGATGTTGCGATTGTAGGAATCACTGCAGATTCAACATTGTTTGCAAGTTTGTTTTATTAAATCTTAAAACTAGATTTGAGGGAGAAAAACAAAACCAAAATCAAGAGTCATAAATCCAGACAAAAGATGAGATGTAAACTTGAAAACTTTGTGATCGAAATTTACATTTAAACAAAAAGCATGATGTTTAGTCATTTTGCAAATATTGCAATATTACGACGCTATGATTTCAGGAATCAATGCCGATTCAACATTATGAAAGACATCAAGAATGCAAGAGCCATAAATCCAGTCAAAATGAACATATGTTGAACTCTGAACCATAATCCCACTATAAACCTGCCATTCTAACCATAACTCAAACCCCAAAAACGAAAAGCAAATATTTCAACGACTCACCGTATGCCGTCATGGTGCCTACGTAAGGTCCGTCCATCACGCTTTGGTTCTCCTCGGCGAGAGCTTTGATATATCGCTTGCTGAGGTCCAATATTTGCATACGTAGTTGTGTGCTGCTTTCATGCGTCACCCTCTGCTGGATGGTGAAATGAAGCAGCATCATCCCCCAAATGAAGCCGAAACTCACCAGGAAGAATCCCAGCTTTTGGGAGGACAACTTCCACAGGTACACAGAGCCCATGTCGAGGAAGTTTGTTTGTGTGATTGTGTGCAGTGTGTGCGATTCAGGATGAGTTGAGCCTCATGATCTTTGAGGGGCGTGGTCTACTCTTTCCTTCCCTCACTGTAGTCCATTCCTTTTAGCGCAAGCTGTCAATCACACCAAAGACACACCCATCATAATGAAGACACTGGAAAGAAAAGAAAAAGTCAAAGTCAAACAAAAAGACAGCATTTTTAGGTCACATTTTTGCTGTAAAGATTTTTAATTGGCAGATGATAAAACTGAAAAAATATTCCAAAGAGGAGTAGGGTTGCTGCGATAGACAGTGTTGATGGTTTTACCGGTGTGAAGCCGCAACACCGGTTATGTCACTTGCCCACCGCGGCACCGCCCCCACCGTCTTTTGGATTTTTTATAGTAATAAAAATCATTTAGTTCAGTTAGAGAATAGACACTACAATTAAAACTGAACGCGGCTGCTCAATGTAGCGTGCCGAACGACAGTCGCATCACAGATCAGATTTCATTTATCATGTGAGCAGAAGCTGACGAGAGTGAGGTGAGACAGACGAGACGAGACAATGGCAAAAGCGCTCGTTTTAAAAATATTTTGGATTTTGAAAAGCCTGTTGACTTCTGACATTTATATTGGAAGGTTTTTAAACATTCATTTTTTATTTATTTGGTTCCACAGTGTTTGCTGATTTTTATTTAAACTGTGTATTTTTTTTATTTAACATCAAGTATGCTGCGTCTCCCAAGCTTTCCTATTAATTTTGCTAATAAACGTACGTTTCTTATTTATTTATTCATATTTATTTGGCGCACAGCGCTTTTAAGCAATTTAAAAGTGAAGAAAATGAGGAAAAGAGGTAAAACTCAAATTAACTAAAAACAAACAACTGCTTGATGCCGAATTGCCGCTAATTTGAAAGTGAAAGTAAAATGTGCATGGCACTTCTAACACGGAAGGAAAGCAATCATACAGGCTATAATATAATATCAATTACTGGTATTGTCACACGTCGATTAACTGGTGGGAAAATTTCCTCATCGTTACAACCCTAAAGAGGAGCCATATCTAGAAACTACAGGTGTATCTCAATAAATTAGAATGTCATGGAAAAGTTCATTTATTTCAGTAATTCAACTCAAATTGTGAAACTCATGTATTAAATTAATTCAATGCACACAGACTGAAGTAGTTTAAGTCTTTGGTTCTTTTAATTGTGATGATTTTGGCTCACATTTAACAAAAACCCACCAATTCACTATCTCAACAAATTAGTATATGGTGACAAGCCAATCAGCTAATCAACTCAAAACACCTGCAAAGGTTTCCTGAGCCTTCAAAATGGTCTCTCAGTTTGGTTCACTAGGCTACACAATCATGGGGAAGACTGCCTAAATCATCACAATTAAATGAACCAAACACTTAAACTACTTCAGTCTGTGTGCATTAAATTTATTTAATACACAAGTTTCACAATTTGAGTTGAATTACTGAAATAAATGAACTTTTCCACAACATTCTAATTTATTGAGATGCACCTGTATATAATAGAGACTTGGAGTTGGACTTCACTTGGGTCTGTACACAGAAGACCCAAGCAACCACACAAAAAGGCCTAGAAATCACCCAGAAATGACCCTCAGAAAACCCGTAGCCACCCAAATGATCCTAGAAATGACCCCAGTAACCCAAATGACCCATGAAAAGCCCAAGTAGATACTAGCAACCACCCAAACGACCCCAAAAAATGCCCCAGAAGACCATAGTAACCACTCATGTGGCCTAACAACTGCTCAGAAGACCCTAGCCAGCAATCCCTCAAAATGTAGTAATGACTCAAAAGACCCTAGAAATGACCCAGACGACCCTGACAACCCCCAAAAGACCCTAAAAATTACAGAGATGACCCTAGCAAGTTGCAACCACCCAACTGACTCTAGCGACCACCCTAGCGTTGAAGAAAGCACCCAGATAACTGTACCAACCATTCAGACGGTGGCCAGAGGTGGGTCGGCTGCAAAGCATGCAAAGGAAACTATTTTGTTCCACCTGTGCTGCCAGGCAACGTGACTACAGCCGTGACATCATAACAGATGACCGCATAACCAGGGTCACAATACGGTCTCTAGCGTTTCACATTGTTGCGGGACTAAACAGTGTCAGACGTAACAGACCGTGCCGTGGCATTTCAATGAGGGGATCGAGCCAAAGCAAAGGATGGAAGCGTTAAAGCAAACCTTGACTGAAAGGCTTCCAGAAAATGATAGACAAATAGTTATTTTAAATGAACACAAATATACTTGTTTGCATTTGGGCACAGATTTAAATACAGCCAGCACAAGGGGATGCCACATAGCACAAAGCACAAAGGCTGAATACACAAAAACTGTTGACATTTCTGATGCGGTTAAAACATTGGTGACCATATAATCCCAGAATAACCAGTTTAAGAAACATTACAATCTCCTTTCTGACCTACCATATGTGACCTTTGATATTTACTATATTGTTTAAAGGGATAGTTCAACCCAAAAATGAAAATTCTGTCATTAATTACTCACCCTCATGTCGTTTCAAACCCGTAAGACCTTCGTTCATCTTCGGAACACAAATTAAGATATTTTTGATGGAATCTGAGAGCTGTCTGACCCTGCATAGACAGCACGGCAACTGAAATGTTCCCAAGTCCAGAAATGTAGCAAGGAAATCTGTAAAATAATCCATGTGACATCAGTGGTTCATCCGCAATTATACGAAGCTACGAGAATACTTTTTGTGCGCAAAAGAAAAAAAATAACGACTTTATTCAACAATTCGTCTCCTCCACATCACCCTGTAAACAGCGTATGCTGTTCTGTGTCAGCTGCATCACGCCGGATCGGTTTCCTACGTTGTTGTGATTTGATCTGAATGGAAACAGCGTATCCGTGTGACGCAGCTGACACAGAACAGACATGAGGGTGAGTAATTAATGACAGAATTTTCATTTTTGGGTGAACTTACCCTTTAATGAATGTTGCTAAAGCAATAAGCCACTCCAAGCCAAGGTGTGAAGCAGGTCTTACAACCCTATAAAAACCACTGTAACAAATACCCTTCTGTAGCCATATAAGGATAAAAGATAGAGCCTAGATAGGTTTAAAATGTGAGATCATAGCTAGAATAAATGTTATGTAATTTGTAACATATTGCCTTTAACGTATACAGGTGCATCTCAATAAATTAGAATGACGTGGAAAAGTTCATTTATTTCAGTAATTCAACTCAAATTGTGAAACTCGTGTATTAAATAAATTCAATGCACACAGACTGAAGTAGTTTAAGTCTTTGGTTCTTTTAATTGTGATGATTTTGGCTCACATTTAACACAAACCCACCAATTCACGATCTCAACAAATTAGAATACTTCATAAGACCAATAAAAAAATCATTTTTAGTGAATTGTTGGCCTTCTGGAAAGTATGTTCATTTACTGTACATGTACTCAATACTTGGTAGGGGCTCCTTTTGCTTTAATTACTGCCTCAATTCAGCATGGCAAGGAGGTGATCAGTTTGTGACACTGCTGAGGTGGTATGGAAGCCCAGTGGCCTTCAGCTTTCTTTGACAGTGGCCTTCAGCTCATCTGCATTTTTTGGTCTCTTGTTTCTCATTTTCCTCTTGACAATACCCCATAGATTCTCTATGGGGTTCAGGTCTGGTGAGTTTGCTGGCCAGTCAAGCACACCAACACCATTGAAATAAATTAACTTTTCCACGACATTCTAATTTATTGAGATGCACCTGTATACATTGTAGCTAGCTGTAATGTGGTGTTTTGTTTCATGTTGATGTTTTCCATGTCTTTTATTTTGTAATTGTTTCATGGTCCATGTTAGTGTCATGCTTCCCTTGCCTCATGTCTCTCTGCCTTGTGTATGTGTCATGTTCTGATTGGTAGTCTTAGTCATGTGTCTTGTTCCCCATTGGTTTGTTCATGTCATGTGACCCTCCTTGCTTCCTATAATTAGCCTTCATGTTCCCATTGTGAGATTATCGTGTATTGAATGTATTTAACCCGCTGTTGGTGAGTCTAGTCTGTTTGTGTCAAGTCTGCTCATGCTATGTCTGTTCAAGTCAAGTCAATTCAAGTCTGTGTCTTGGATTATTGTTTGGATGTTTGGATCACTCTGTAAATAAACTGCACTTGGGTTCTCACTACGCTCGCCTTCAGTGGATTGACTCTTTACACTAGCAATAAGCCTAAGTGTAGGCTATGAAACCAGTTTTATTTCTTCCCCAAATTTCATTTTAATTCTTCTGGACTGCATTTTAATGGTTAAAAAAAATTGTAGTCATCAAAAAGCAATTCAATAAAATCATTAAACTTACAAAATTTGTATTAAGTTTTAGGGCCCTATGAATTATTTAATCAATAATTTGTTTCCCAAATTCCAAGTTTTCAGTTTTAATTTTTCTAGATTCTGTTTTAATTAATAAAGTAAAATTTAAGTAAAGCATGTCCAATTAATTGCAATCATGAAAAGTAGGCTATACAATTTAATAATAAAAAATTGGGCCCTATTAAAAACTGTTCTACTTTTATCCCAAATTCCATGTTTTTCATTTTAAAATTTCTGTATTCCATTTTAATTGTTTGACTGAATTTTACAAATCAAAAAGCATGTCTAATCAAGTGAATTTAGGGGTGGGTGATATACCGTTGGACCCGATTAATCGGTAGAAATTTGTTAACTAGTAGAGATTTTCGACTGTCTTCTCTATCGCGATTACATGCTCACTGATTGATTTGCTACGTGGTCACAAAAACTTATCGTTTGCACATGTTTTTAAGCCCTGAGGTTTAAAAACAAGTGATTTTAAGCCATTAAAAATGCAATTAGCAGCGAAAGAGAACTCATTTCACAATATGCGCATGCTGTCTAAGAGCTGTGTTTCTAAGCACTGTCAAAGAGGTGTGCGCTAGGCTTGCCGCGATCGACGGTGCTGATGGTGATACCGGTGTTAAGCCGCAACACCGGTTACGTCACTTGCCCACCGCATCACCAACCCCCCCCCGTCGTTTAGATTTTTTTATAGTATTAAAAATAATTTCGTTCAGTAAAAGAACAGACACTACAATTAAAAACTGAACGCGGCTGCTCAATGCAGCGTGCCGAAAGACAGTCGCATCACAG